CTTACTGATCTGTCCTCGGCAGAGCTTTGGGAGAGCCGCTGTTGTGCAGCCCTTTGTGCTGGTGACGGACTGCCGCACACCCCCCCGGGACAGCCGCACACTGGTGGCGAGGCAGGCGATCCTCATCTGCCAGCTGGAATGCTTTCTGGGATGAAATGTTGCAGTCCTGCCACAAATCAGACTATTAACTCAACTGGAGCACAGCGGATTCCCCCTTGGAGAGAAAAAAAATCTCCCTGAAAGATGCATAAACCTGCCCATTATCCGATCCAGCTGATACGGAGCCGATTTTCCCAGTGTGGTATCAAGTTCCAGAGGAGCCTATTTATACTGAATTCATCAGTGCTACTTTGTACCCAGAAGAGTTCAGCTCTGTATTTTCAATCAGTTAGTGGCCATCAAACTCTAATGGGGTTTCTGGAACTGTGGGTGCTTTATCCTCTGTTCAGCAGCCGTTTCGGCACGCTGAGCCGCTGCTCCGCTAGCTCTTTTCAAGTTGCAGCTCCTCATTTCAGGCAGACGCGCTCTTCCCTCATGGTTAGATAGTCAGCAAGGAGAGACAAAACTCATCAGACTTGCAAGTGTCAAGTGTGAGCCCAGACTGACTTTTTACCATTTCTGGTGGCAGTTTGCAGTTCCTTTTGCAGATCACTGGCCTGATTCTGCCTCCACTTATGCCTCTAGGTCATCGGGGCTATTTCCCTTGTTTGGAGCGGTGCCTCACTGGCAGGCTCTCCTCCTGATGAGCAGCACTACTTTTTCCCTCTAGTCAAAGCCATATAGACTAAGCCACCACCAGAAATTTCATCACCTTCATTGGATACACAAGTGAAGTAGAGGAGAGAAACATTTATCTTGCAGGTAATTAATCTCAGAGCTAAATGAAACAAGAGCCGATGGAGGGGACTTTGGTCACTCGTGACAGCCTTTTCATAGCCAAATCGTGACAGCTTCACCCAAAACCTAACACCAAAGCAGCCCATCTTTGCTCTTTGCTCTTTCATAAGTTTAGAAACCAGTCATCAACCAGCCCCCACCAAGGAGACCTCGCCCACAGATCCCTTCCTTTTCCCAAGGGATGGATGTCTTCACTATTCAGAGTCATCACCCAAGAACCATCAAAACCAGCTACCCACATTCTTGTGTCTAGCCCAGCTACCCTGTGCCCACAGCTGCCGTTACCAGTGCTGTAGGTATCTCCACCAGCTTACGTATGACTGCTAGGACTCGCATCCTTTCCAGACCCTTTCTGTAACTCAGAATCTCTGCAAAAAAAGCAAAGCAAAACAATAGCTATTCCCTTTGCCTCTTCCTCCACCTTTTGGGTCACTTACCTGGTGAGGTACTTGGGGTTCAAGGACAGAAACAGACTTGGCAGGGCATAAGCAGGGAAGATTTCTGTGGATCTGAAATGGTTAAAAAGATTTCTGCCTCAGGACCACTAAAGTCCAAAGGGTTCAGTCTCTATTTTATAATTTATAGCTCACCATCTCTCTTCCCAAAGTCCTTGGGGCTCTCACGGTTCACAGAACAACCCTTTTCTATTTTACTTATGCCGCTCAGTTCAGTAAATGCCCCCAGGCTAGTCCAAGCCTTGTTAATACCTTCACCCATGCAACCTCTGGGGAGAACATAGCTTTTTATCATTAGGTGAAAATGGAACTGCCTGGAATAACAACACAAACATGGGTGTTAGTGCACGAGGAGAGATCCCAGGCCTTTTAGCTAGGAACCTGCCAGACTTCTGTTGACCCAGCCAGGGTTGGAGAATTGGCTGTCACTGCAGGGAGAGAGGTGAGCCCTCGGCCCCGCTGCCGGGCTCCCAAACAGAGGGGCAGCAGGAGGATCAAACAAAACAGAGGGGATAAAGCAAAGTATTACATTTTAATTGATCTAATCTTTGGCTCCCAGTGGAATTTGCAGAGATATCTTACTAGAATTACTCAAGTTTTATCAGGAGATGGCAATACTGGGAAAGCGCCTTTTGGACGGCAAACCACTCCAGATCTTGAACTAGATTAGCATTGGGACTGGCTGAGCAAAAGAGCCCCCACAATAGTTTCAAAGATGAGAGCAAAAGCTGGGGAGAGAGAGAACATGTGAGATGTAGACCCTCCTGGGCACAGAAATGCACACAAGTACACACCCAGGCATATGCATAATGCCGTCTGCTGTCAGGTCCCTCCAGTGTAAAACCTCTAAGTATTTACCAGCGAGCAGAAAATACGGGACCTACAGAGACACTAGAAAAGGCATGCAGATGACAGCAGCTTTTATCCATCCACTCCTCTTCTGAGGTCCATATCCGCTCTGAGTGCAAACACTCTGAACATTTTAAAAAAAGAAAAAAAAAGAAAAAAAGAGAGAAGAGGGACATGAAAAAAATCTCCTTAAAATACAGACCCAGATATAAAATACGATACAGGTGGAGCAAGCTAACAGGAGAGATAAAAAGTAAAGACAGTGAGAAACCAGGTGGTTTCTCGTAATTTTTTTCCTGACATCCGCTGTCTGAGCCGATGACTGAAAGATCTTTGGAGAAGCGGAGGAATAATGTCTGGCTCTGTCAAGATCCCTCTTTATTCACTGCGGTGAAGGGGTGAAAAAACATCAGGTCTGATAAATGATTCATGGAGCCTTTTCTTCTGCTAATCTGTAAATAAATTTTAAAAAGCAGCTTCTTTTTGATGAATATATTCTGCTGCTCGTAAAAACATGTCGGCCTTTAAAAACAACACAGGCCCACTCAGATGTCTCTAGTGTTGCTGTCAGTACTTTGAAAGCCCAAGCCTGGCTCCTTGCAGAGTGCAGGGATGGAGGTTTTGCCGACTTACCTCAGCTGAGGATCTGCCCCTCTGATCCCATGGCACCGGATTCCTGGACTCTGGCGAAGCCTTACCTCATCTCATACTCGCACCTTCACCACTCTGTTTAGTCAGGGAGAGGGTAACACCCCACAGATTTACAGATACGAAGGTCAGAAAGGACCTTTATGAACATCTTATATGACATCCTGCATAACAAGCTCCAAATCCTCTCCTCCTCGTTGCATGAGCATTCTCTGAGCATGCACATTTTATGGTCGCTGTGTGGCAGACGCTTCTTTTCACACGCTGCTGGAAACAACAGAACAACTCTAACGTGCCCATCACCATGGCATCGCATCCCATTCCCTGTACATCTTTCTCAGGAACGCCTGCTGGAGGCAGGCTCCTGCCTGCGATAACACGATGGATTTGACCTGTTGTACCTAACCCCCAGCCCCTGGTCAACCGGGCTCCAACCAGCAGGTCTGGGAAGGCTGTAACTGCCGTGGTCCACATCGCATGGAAACCTGGGGCTCCTGGACAGACTGCACTGCTGTTATAGTTATGGGTTCCTTCCCCCCTTACCACCACATATCTTGGGCTTTCTTTTTTTGGCCTTTTCTTTTTTTCTCCCGTTTCCACTCAGCTACAGATAATGGCAACACCACGGGTATGGACACACTCAGGCAGCAGAGACCTGCAACAGCCAAAGCACCTCTTCCCTTTCAGCTGGGGAGTTGCTAGGTTTCTCCCTGAGTGGACGGGTCTCGAACTGTCTCACAACTTTTGTGAGTGTGGACAGGGAAGGAAAGAGGAAAAAAAGCATGATTATACAAGGACGTCTTTTATTTCAGTACATTCAAGACAAAAAGAAAAGAAAACAATTCAAGAACAGGATGTACCTTCACTCAAGGCTTAATCTCCCCTGCCCCTCTCCATTGTCATCTCTTTCCTTTCACAATCAGAAATTGCATAGAATTTGTTTTTCAATCAGAAAATTAAACTCGTCAATGTAAAACCCACGTCTGTACCAAGCAGAGGGTGAGCTGCTGCTGTTGCTAGGGAAGTAAATATTTTCCTTACATCAGATCCCGGGCTAATGGTTTTCTCAAATGCTGTGCGGCATCGTCACTGCTAGATATGGGCTGTAAGCCACCCTCGAAGCTGAGGGTGCTCCGTGGGTCACGGACAAGGGGAGCTCACAAGCCTGGGGTAGAGCTCAGAGTCACTTGTTTGGGAGTGTGCAGAGCATGGGCCACAGATGCTCTGGGGAACGACAGCGGGCAGCAAATATCACCTCCCTCCGCTGGTGGGAAAGGGCAGCCTTCCCCAGCGCTCCCTGCTCTCGCCTGCTCCCGTCTCACCTTCCTCAAAAGGCTCCCCCACCCGCATCCCAAAAACAGAAAGGAAAAAAAGCAAAAGATAACCCCAGAACTAAACAAAAGACACAGAACCCCTGAAATTCCAGGCGTTTCAAGGCCTCTTTGAGTTCACTGTGTTTGTTGGTTGGTTTTTGGCATTTTAATATATATATATCTATGTATATATATATATTTTATATATATATATGTATTTTAACTCCTCAGATGGACTTTCAGCAAATGCTGCTTCTCACAGGGAGCGTGTCCCATCCCGTCCTTCCCTTCTTCCCTCAGTCCACCTGCCACACTCCGAAAAGGAAGAAGAGTTCAGCACCTGAAACCCGGTGCCTTGGAGACTAGGTCCTGACGTACCCAAAATAAACCAAACCAAAATAATGACTCCTTCCCCTTCCCATCCCTTATCCATGTCAAATAAAAAGACCCTCCCCCCCGCCCTTTGAGAACATCCCCTGGTAAGTCTACGTGATGAGGACGCCCTTAGGTGGGCAATATCTGCTACACCAGTTACCCACCATGTCCCTCCTTCCCGCCTCAGAGCCGCACGGTGGCACGGAGACAACTGCTGGAGACGGGCCAGCCAGAGGACCTTGCTCCTGCTGCGTCAGGCTTCAGCGAGACACACGTCCTCTCGGACACCGAAACCAAAGCCGATCCTCTGGCCAGGCCTGCGCGTCAGCCCAAAGGTCCGCCTTGCTCTGGAGAAGCTGGGTAACTGCTTTTAATTTAAAAACAAGTTGACATTGTACAAGTCCATGTTCTGTAAAATGGAACAGGACCCTCTCGGCCCACCCCAACGCCCCCTGCCCCAGCGTTACTCGGGCTCGCTGCTGTTGGTGGTCTTCTCCCACTCCAAGCTCTCTTCGCTCTGCGCGGGCGAGCCCGCAGACGGCCGTGCCCGGAGGCCCTGAAACCTGCGGCACTCAGGGCACACACGGATGTGCGTGCACCCTCGGGCGACCAGGGCGGCTTCTTGTGCCAGTCTTTGTGCCAGGGGATCTGGCTCGCCCCCACTGCACAGCTTCCCGTTGCTGAGCGTGGTTGTGCTGCGGGCTCGGCGTTCCTCCGGGATAACGGGGCGAGTCCGTATCATTCCCCCTCGCCTCCGATGAGGGTGGAAACTGTCCTTGCAGAGAATGATGTTGCGCAGCTCCGTCACCATTTCTTGGCACACGGACACCTGGAAGGCAGACCCGAGACATACTGCTAACCTAAGTAAGCTGCCAGCCCAGCAGTGCTGCATCTGCTCTGGATTCTGATGCCAAAGCGTTACGGACTTGGTGGTTAATCTGGCCACTGGCTTTCGACATCAATGCTCGGACATTTACGCTTGATTTAGCCCAACAGATTCCGCCTCTTGTCAGAGACCCTCCTGTGTTCTGGATCCCCAAATCAACACGAGACCCAAACCTATTGCAGGTAGAAATCCTCAGGTGATCCTGTCTCCAGGAAAGGTACCTGGACGTTGTACATATCCTTGATCCCTTCAAAAGCCCTTGGAGCATCCCTACAGCCTCGATCTCAGTAGAAGTGCATGAAAAACTCGTGCGTTTTAGACCCTGCCCAATGCACCTAGCCTTCTCGTGCGTTTGAGGTCTCATTACTAGGAACGCTCATCTCAGCTGGGTGCATCACTTGCTCCAGAGCACTGCACTGCTGAGCACCCTGCAGACAGCAATAAACACACACTATCCCCTCAGGACACTTTCAGGTCCTACCTCTGACTGATCAGAGTGCCGAAGGCTCCACAAAAATTCCAGCATTGCCATAAAAATTGCTACGATTAAGCCACAGATGAGAACCACGAAGATTCCACCAATATTCTCCATTCCCAGGCCTAAAATAAAGCAGAAGAGACAATGCTGTGGAGAGGCAGACACAACATAAATTGCAAGCATTGCTATACAGAAATCCCCACTCTTTGCTGTTTAGTCGGCATTGCATATACCCAGCCAGGGACCAAAACCACATAGCCAGCACTGTCCTATTAATAGCTAACCGCATGACTCAGATGGCAGACTGAATGACTTGCAATAACTGCACGATCGAAGACACGTTCTCAGAAATGATGATTTTGCAGATAAACAGCAAGTACATTGGAGGGAAGTACAAAGCAATTTGTGGACAAACTGAAAACAGGAGAAAAAAAATGAGAGATCAATCGGGCACGTTAATCCCTGCAAATTATTCACCCAGGCCTAGTTGCTTTGAACTTTGCAAAGGAAGATGAGCAATGTTGTTAAAGAAGCAGAGATGAAGAAGACAAGAAAGGGCTTTAAAGGAAGCTGGCACCAAGAAAAGCTCCTTTGATTGCACTACAAAGTGCTGGCGAAAAATCATTACAGCTGCTTGTATTGCAGTAGCAAGGAGAGGTTCCAAACAAGACCAGGACCCAACACTGTTTCACACTATGCAGTGACCGAATGGGGTCCCTGCCACCCCGGCGTACCTGGTTACAGGTTGGGTGCTCTCTGCCCAGCACCCTCTGGCCCACAAGTAGGAAACAGACCCTTCCATGGGGCGGCTCATCTCACCTCCCTTGGACAACTCACTTACAATGGGATGACCACCATCTCTACTGATCGTAGGAGCCATTCAGCCACCTCGGGCCAAATGCCGCACGTGCAGACAGCTTCGCTTAGGGGAGGGACTAAATTGCATGCATGGCAGCTGCCAGCCCTGTCCTACATAGCTTGCACTCCAGAAAGCTCACCAGCTGGAAGGAAAATCCACCCCTCAAGAACCTGGCCTAAGCTTTCCGCGTGCCGAGGCCGTCACCTCGCTTCCCACCGCAACCCCTGTCCCCAAAACGGCAGCCTGTGCATCCGCCCGGCCCTGCAGAACAGGACCACGAGAGGAGCCGGGGAGCAGTGCCAGCCTCAGCACACGCTGTCCGAGAAACGCCTCCTCTCTCCTGTGCTTGTTGGTTTTGGGTCTCAAGTGGACTGGGCCCCTGATTGGATTGATTACTAAGAAGCATGCGGTGCTTTGCACTGAGGTGACTGTATGAGGCCATTACTCAACAAGAACATCTATAAAAATCTTCCTCTCCCCTCTGTAGCATTAAATCAAAGTGTAAGAATCAATGATTTATTGACTTAATCTCTGCGTGGCTTTTAGACATAAAATCTCACCAAAATCCTTGTAAATCGCTGATCTGTTTTGTTCTAAAACTTAGGAGGTCACATTTCTCCCTCTTCCTCCGTCATTCTTTTGGCATTGCCTCCGGAGCAATCTAGTGACTCTGTAAATCAGCCCTTCGCAGAGATGTTTCCACGAAGACAGCAATTGCACGGCAGAAAACACAGCCCATAATCACAGTTTAGACCCAAGATAAAGGCCATCCTCTCCTCTCAGCAGCTCTCAAATTTGAATTTAGGGCCAGTACCTCTCTCTACATCCTTCTGTCCTTCTACCTGGGTGCCACCTCAGACACCCAATTCCCAAGCTCACCTGAGAGGTAGGTATTTGCTTCCTCCATATACACATACCAGCAGGCTACAGCCTTCCTCATTTCCCAAACTGAGAAAATGAGCCATGACAGAGGGCACAAAACAGCAGAAAAAACTTGTCCAGGGTGACAGAGCACAGCAGGTAGTGCCAGACACAGCCCAGGAGCCTGCTTTCCCAGCCGCCCCCTTCCAAAGCCATCTCAGCACAGCCCACAGACTAGATTCCACTTCAGAGCTGCTTTTTGCACAGTCCACGGAGGAAAAGACTCCCATGTGCCTGCTCGCCTTCAAAAGTAACTTCTTTAATAGCTTATCGCCTTGCCCTGAGGCCTGATGTCTTACACTGGGCCAACACCTTCTGCTTCAAGACTGCCCAACGGGGAGCACTGGCTTGCAGTCCCCACGGGGTCTCATCCAGCCTAGCTCACGAACTGCACAGACACACACACCCCTACAGCTGCTGCATTGTCAGGAAAACAAAAGAGCTGTCATGGACCCGGCTTGGCTCTCCGTCTCTCTCCTCAGAAAGGTCAGAAGACTGTCCTTTCAACTGGGGGTCCTGCTGGCCTCCCAGAAAACGCTTGCTGAGGAAAGGGTGACTGCCAAAACTAAAAAATGCAGCAACTGCGTTAAGCTGGCAACTGCTCTCACACTGGGACATCAGCCTAATGTGGTAGCTTTTATGGCAATTTGCATAGCATTACCCAAAAGAATTTGCTCCTCGGTTTACAGATGTACTAATAAAGTCCTTGTGTCCCTTCCCGTGGCTGTTTAAAAGGCGCTTTCACTTAGAGCCATTAACCAGTGGGCCTGTGGTGGAGATCCATCTCCCTTGAAGGAACCCAGGATTTTGGTCTGATCCCTTTAGCCATCCATTTTCCCATGTAATGCTGCAGACATTCATTAGAAGCTAATTTACCCTCCATATGACTCCAATATTTGTCATTTGGTTGTTCCTGCTATCTCTGCCCCAGGCAAAAACACACAGCATGAGGCACAGCAGAGCTGTTTGGCTTTCTCCTTGAATAGGGAAGGAAGGAATCTCAGGTCAGAAGAAGGGGAAAAAGTAATTCGCAGGCAGAAAACCTGGCAGCGCTCATGGGCAGACGGACGTTTATCCTTGCACCGCTGGCAAGGATGCTTCTACTGCCTGGTCCCTTCAGCATGCTACCGGAGAGCAGCATGGCTTACCTTTGGCTCTGTGGTCCTCCTCTTTGGGGCACTTCCCTCCTTCCCACCACTTCCGCTTCAGGATTTCCAGGCGGTTGTTCTCTTGCAGCTGGAGAATGGCCAGGTCAAACTCGTCACGAAACGCAGAGCCTGCAACACCAAGAGGTACGTGGTAAGGCACCGCCTCGGCCAGCCTTCCTCCCCACTCATCCCTGCCACGATGCCCTGCCAGTGTGCCCAACTACAAAAGCTCGCCTCCGAACAATCTGGAAGGGACTTCAGTCCATGTAAGCCCTTGAAACCTGCAGCCTCCCTGCTGGGACCGTCACCTGGTTAATGTCATTTGCACATGGTAATTTCGCCTGTCCACCAAGACCCACGTAGGCCATTTAAAGAGGTCCTTTACAAGGGGGAGCTTTGGCTTCAGGGGCAGGGTCTGAAGAAGCAGTTCAGGATCGCGCCACTGCTCCTCCAGACCACTGAGGTCCCTCTCCTGTCATTCTGCCTCCAACTTCAACCTTGCTCTAACACTCCTTCCCTCAAACTGGTGCACTGCAACAGCAGCAAGTTCAACCTACATGCAAGTCCAAATGTTCTTGGTAGAGGAGGCTCACTTCTGCGCTCCGTACTGATCTCTACTGCAGTCTCGATGGTGTCTGCTACCAGAGATCCCGAAGAAGGGCCGTGGGAAAGACCGCAGATCTCCTGGTAACTCTGCACTATTGTCCCAGCGAGCAGCTTTCTGCTCTTCTTATCTGCTACAGTTTCACTGTTTAACAAGACAATGTCAGAACAAATTTCGTCCTGAAAGTAAGGATTTGTACTCACGATCAGGTTACTGTGACTTTACAAGCTTACGCATGTTAGCTAAACTATAGTGACTGTTTGTGTGATGGCTCTTATGTAATTCACCTTTGTATTGCTAAGTGCAGGTGCTTAAAGGTCAGGAGCAAGGCTTCCCGAGCCTGCGAGAGACTGGCCGAAAGATCAATTGATTGCTTGGAACAACAACTACTACATCTGTTTTCTGTGCTGCCCTGGGAGATGACGTTCTCTTGCTAGCTCTCATATTTGAAAGACAAAAACCCTGCATTTGTTAAACCTGATTATTAGCCGAGATAGTCACTGAATTGCCCAATTCTCTGTCCTGGAGCTTTAAGAACCACCAGCTGTTAAGAAACTTCTGCTAAAACTACAAGAATTGCAACAGCATTACTTTTAACAGCACTTCTGATATAAAACAAGGAGCACAAAACGATTGAAAAACACTGGTTCAAAAGGGAAACAGTCAGCAAAGAGCATATATGCAGAAAATAAGCAGCAATTTTGAAACATCTTTCACATGAATTATTTAAAGAGCCGCAGTCGCGTGTCACATGGCTCTGGACCAGAGCAGGGTCTCATACATCTGGCTCTGAGCATGCACCTTGGGCAATTGCAATGTATTTGATTTTCCTCCTGAGATAAAAATGACCCTGGGCAGAGCTGTGAAACGTGACATTGGCTTTAGAGCCGGTTCAGCCTTTCAAATGCTCCGGTCCTCTGCCAACAGCTGAGAAGGACTAGAATTTTTCTTCACTGCCTACCGACGGGCATGCCAATCCCGTAGCCCTTGGTGTCCAGAAGGCCCCCGACCTGCGTGAGGTTGCAATTGCGCTGACGATAATACTCGTTCATGGTGGACTCCAGCAGGAAGGCGTAATTGGAGTTCAGCACGCGTGCAATCCCTTCCTCCGTGCTCTTCACAAAGACGCTTGGCTGCTTGGAGTACATGTAGTTCCACATCCGCTGGTACGTCTGGTAGCGGGAGTTCTGCAGGAGAAAGGAGGCAAGCGCAGCTAAAGTGGGAGCATCTTGCTGTAACATAAACCCCAAATGAGACGCCGCTATGAAAAGGCCACAATGGGGAAAGGAGTCAAAGCAGATTTGGTGCCAGATTCAAAACGGATTTAGATGCCTGACCTCCATTTATGCCAATGAGATTTAGAGGCCCGAATATCTTGGTGAATTTGAGACTTTGTTGACAAAACTGGGCATGAAACGCATACCTAATTCCAATAGGTTCCAGCAAAGCTCTTTGCATAAATTCAATTTTGGAAAAATACATAGTTTCCGTAACAGTATATCAAAAATACACAAAAAAGACAGAAGAAATAGCTCGTGTGTGGCTGATTTAAACCACCCAATGCTCCCTGTACAGCTACACCCTATCGTCTGTCACTGTAACCTTGTGCTTAACAGTTCACCAGCGTCAGAGCCGGACACCGTCACCTTGAGAAGGGCACTGAGGGCTGGGGGCAGAGCCTTTGGAGTTTGTTGCTCCCTGAGTCTGGATTTTGGTTCACCCCCTCGTAAGGCAAATCAAAGTACGTGCTTAAGAGAACTGGAATCTTTTCGTTCACTGCTGTAAACTAAAGCTCAACCACCCCCAAATCCTCCGACTTTCCTGGTGGTTGGACCCACCTTGGTTTGACTGAGAGACAAGCTGACTACAGTTAATCTCTCTTGCCTGTGCTGAGCAAAAAGAGAAAACTGCTCGCACAAAGACTGAAGATAAACACACTCTGGTCAACATTAGGAGTTTCTGAATTTGCCCCTGTTCCCCTCACCCTTGCATTTCTGCAGCACACGGAATCCCTTACACCACCTCCCTCCCCTCCCGGCCACCGCAGCAGGTACGTGACGTGCTGCCAGGCACTCCGTGCCATCGCGCTTTCAAGGACTCATTTTCTGTGGCTGGCAAGCGATGCCGGGGCGCCTCAGGGAATCTGCTGCTGACCTAGTTAACTCTCCTCGTCTGTCCAGCTCTGTCCTCTTGGGTGCAGTCACTTGGGCAAGGGACAGACGAACAGGGTGTGTGTTTGTTCCTGATTCACTGCACTTTTAAACCTTACGCCTGTGTGTTAGTGTCAGGGGAAGCTGCTGCCAGGACAAGGTGCTTCAGCAGTGGACACACGTCTCGTGCAGCCAGGAGCTGAGGGCTGGTGAAGACAGCCTCAGCCATGCCTGCTTAATCCATTGCTGCGTTTGACCCACCACCGTTACACCAGAGGCAAAGGGATCCCAACACAGTTTAAAGCATTGCAAATGGTACAAGAACATCTTTTGCTGATTTCTTCCCTGATACCAGTGACTCCAGCACCCACCAGGCAGTGCAGAGCCACAGTCAGGGTTTTAAACTTGAAAGCTTTCCTGAAAAGAACTAAGTGAGTGCCTCGTATACAACCACCTTAGTCACTTGGGCTCTGTTCAGCTCATTTTAGATGTAACGTTCTGCTTAAAAGTAGCTTTTTGCCAAACCCTGAAGGGTGTAAAGTTGGGCTGAAAAGCTCAGGCTCACTCGAGAGATTTCTCAGGCTTACCAATTCAGTTCAGACTCAGAGGAGGGAAAAAGCAAGAAAAGCTTCCTCTCCTCTTGGAATTTCAACAAGTAATAAATAAATAATCCTCAAGCAGTTCTTTGTGCATTCAGAGCACTGCAGAAAAGATTCACTCATTTATTTCCCTTACGAATACAGCAGGGAAGATAAAAATTAAATTGGGCTAAATGGCACGCATACGTTTGCATACACTTGACTGACTTGTTTTCAGTGCCACTGACAACATACAGACCCCAGCACTTTTACATATGCTAGCCTACCTGGGGTTTGCAAACGCTTCTTTGCTTACCCAACCTGAGGGACTCTCATGTAGAAGCTAAGATCACATCAAAACCACATAGAGACCCATGGAAATCTGACTGCAAATGCTCATCTGCTGAAGACCGTGTTATGTCATCACTGTGACACAGGGATGCGCACCACGTTTTTTGTGACACTCCGAGCGCTAAGTTGCTTTCTAAGTCCTGGCAGGAAAGTCTGCTCCTCCAGGGTCCAGCACAGATATCCTGACCCTGGTGCACCAGCAGCCCAAGAGCATGCAGCTGCTGTGTTACAAAATCCTGCCTTCCCTGTCCTCCGCCATGCCTCCCCTGCCACTCATCCCACTGTGGATCTAGCCCAGTCCTGTGCAACCAAGCAGCCAGGGGTCTCTCCAAAGGTCCCCTCCGTGCCAGAAACTGGAATGAAACAGGCATGACAGGCTGGGGTGACATCCGAATCTAATTAAAGGGTGCCCTCTGCACCCCCTGCCCCAGTTAGCAAAAGAATGGGGTTTACTTGGAAGAAGGTCATGCTGGAGCCACCGTGAATGGTGCCGTACTCAATGGCTGTCTGGTCAGCCAGGTCATCTACGGATTCGATGGGGACGTCCATCCGCTGCACGGTGAGGAAGGCTGCCAGATTGGCCGTGTAGGAGGAGATGATGATCAAGGTGAATGCCCACCTAGGGAAAGGGGAAGCGAAGACGGTGACCTGAGATTTCCCCATGGACTGAATCTGATCTCCATCCCCACCCTCTGCCTCTCCATCTGCTTCGGCCCAGAAAAGACCCACAGAGAAGCCTTCCTTAAGAGGAGGGCTGACCTCCTTACCAGACTCCGCTGACACACCGCGTGGATAATGCTTGGGGGGCAATGGTGGAGCCTTGCTGCATGAATCCCCCGACTGGAAACCACAAGCTGTTGCCGAGAGAGTACTGATTCACGAGGAGATTGCATCTGCCTTGTGAGCAGGGGTGGGGGCTGTACCACTCGTAGGGTGTCAATCTAAAATGACAAGAGACGGGTAGCTCAGGTAATTCACTGGGAAATGGGGCACTTCGGAGAAAAAAAGCAAAATAAGAAAAGCTCTGAAGCCCTAACTCTCCTGGAGGCAGATTTTTCTGAGGAGGAAACTCTTTGCTGTCAATTGATGCCCAGGGCTCAGAGCTGTGTGAAATGCCTGCTCTAAGACTCAGAAGCCAGAGGCTTTCTCATAAAGATTTGCAGAAGTTTTGAGAGGCTGTGCTGAAAATCCAGGCATGGGCTGCAGGGAGGCTGGAGCCCTGTGTGCAAATTCGTACCGCAGACAACCACAACAATAATTCCAGATATGCACGGATTTGATGTGAAATTGAAATCAAACACCTTTGGCTGTGTTCCCTGCTGGAGAATGAGCATCAATGGGAAGTTCAAAAGTGAAGTGTGTGAGACCTGACTGCATGACACCATCAAGAAAAATGACTGTATTGGTGCAAACGGTTGCTCTGAGAAGGCCTGATTGCCCCAGCAAGGTCTAGGTCCCAGGTCTACTTTGAAGCCAACTGCTGGTGTTTCAAAGCATCACATACTTTCAGTGCTCACGGGGACAGGACAGAGGTGGGAATCTGAAATAACTGACAGCCTGTCACTGAAGTGACTGTAGCCTAGCTCTCTTTTTTTACTGTTTCCAATCCTTAGCTCCCTGGTTGCTAAGACAGTCTTCTAATTCCTATGCTGCAGTTCATTACATGGCTAATGGTTAACAAAGCTGGTGCCTGGGAGGGTCATTCTGGGGATACTGCCAATACAGCTGTAGGGCTCTGCCAGCTTATGCAGCATTTACCCAGAATGGGGTGTTTACTTTCGTTTCTGCATCTCCTACCTCACTGTGATGCCAGCGAGGTGATGCTTATTTCTTGAAGACTTTCTATGGTTTGATCAAGCACTAAGCAGTAAAAAAACACTACTCTGGGAGAGTCTTCTGCAATTCACAGGGTCAAAAGCTCCTTACTGCTGAGCAAGGCAGAGAGCAGCGTCCAAACCTCCATCTCCAATGGGAAGCTGTGTAAAGGCATCTTTTTGGAGAATCATGTTTAAAACATGAGGAGGGGGCTACAGGGGCACCAAATCTCAGTCTGTGGAGAGCATCGGGCTGCATTATTCAATGGTTTCTTCAGAACTACGTTTCTGAGGCTATAATGGCATTCGAAGAAACCACTGAAGCCCTGTCAGGATGACAACTTTAACCATGCTAAGGGACTGAGTAACAGCACAGTTCCAATTTTTGTAATGAGAACTGGGTATTAACCGTGTCCCGAAACAGCCTTCAAGCCCTGAGCACGTCTTTGGCACACATTGCCAGGACACAGTTTGACTATGTCTGAAAAGGCCCATCTATGCCACCAACCATAAGCAGTTTGTTAGGAGGTCAGGGAAAACAGCAATGGAGTGCAGACCCTGGGCCTCGACAGGAGACACGCTGCAGACACGCACTCAGTAATATATTTTAAGGCTGATTTAAAGTAGTCATAGGGAAATGGAACTGAGAGCTGTCAAGTGAGGCTTCAGGCCTCAAGCAACAGGCTTTTGAAAGATATTAATGAACTTCTTTTTCCTGTACACACTGGGTTTTACAAGGCCAGAGGAACCAAATATCACTACTGGAATTTGCATTAATACCTCTGAATGCATTTGCCGGTACCTACCAGCCTCCACCCTCCTGTTCAAAGACAAGTGGTTGGTTTATCTGTTGCAGATCAAGAGTCTACAGGGAGCAGCACCATTTGCAGCACCAGCCCTACTCCCAAACCTCCTCCCGCCCTTCCCATGCGGCTCTCGGCACCGGCACCCACCGCTGTGGCCAAGCACGCTCCCGAATCACCCACGCCGCTCCTGCCCACCCTGTCCCAGCCACGCCAACGGCCATCCCGGGGCTGCCATATGCATCGGTGACGTGCCTGCGTGGGCACTCAGCGGCCAAGCCCCAATCCCCAGCTGGAGGAGGGCAAGGGGCTGGGACGCTTCTCTACCCCTTACTGTCCTCTCCACACTGGTGCCCTGGGGGATGTCCCCGCGTCCCCCACGGGTCTGGGAGCGTGACGCTAGATGGCACCGCGAGGAAGGAAAAGGCACCGCCAGTCACATTACCGAGCAACCAAGAAGAGGACGCAGCTGACAGCCAGGTAGGCGAGCAGCATGAAGAGCCAGACGCCAGGAGAAAAGGGATCCAGGAAGGAGAAGTAGCCAGGTTTCCGGCCCTGGAAGGGAAACAAAAAGGAGTTTGACCTGCTCGTATTTCTACAAATTAAGTGGTCCATTCTGAACATGACACAAAGAAACACACCTGCCCTGATGCTGACAACGGATGGGAGCAACAGAAGGGAAATAAAGCAAACAGGGCTTTGCAAAAGCCTCGCGGGGAAAACAGGTGACACCAAATGCAACAAATGGCCAAGTCCTGCAGCATCTCCCCACTGGGATTCATTTCCTGAGACTATTCCTTTTCCCCACCTCAACCACTTTTGTTCCTCCAGGCAAAGAAAGAAGTGAATTGAAAGAGAAACAGAGAGAATCGCAGCACTCTGCCCTCCCCATGGTAGGATGTGCTGCACCCCTCGCCTCCAGGACTGCTGATAGGGGAGTCCCCATCTGGAGCCCTTGTCCACCCAAGCAGGCTGCACACCACGCTTGCTGGGCAGGAGGGGGCTCCCCTGGGAGAGCACGCCTGAGCTCAGAGGTGGGTGGGATCCTTTGCATGAAGCAGAGTGGGGAAAAAAATATTTTCGTGCAGAAAAGGAAAAAAAATAATGTTTGCAATATTTCTGGTTTTCTTTCTTCAGCCTTGAAACGTTTCTCCTCTACCAAACTCAATAAAATTATTACTTTTATCTCAGGGAACACGATATTTTTATCTCCAGCATGCGTCAGAATTTCCTGTTTTTTCTCAGCAAACCACCTTTCCTTGAAAAGTAAGTCTTCACCGCTAGAAGAAAACAGGTTGATCTTCTCTCAAAGTACCTTTAATTTTCACAAGGACGCTGCCACCATTGAAATCTTGTCAAATTTAGCAAAATTTCTGCAAAGGGACGATTAATTCCTAGGAGAAGTTTCTCAAAAGCTGGACACCTCCCATTTCGGTGGGGGTATGTCTCCTGCTACCACAAGCTCTTGCGTATGCAGTGCTTCTGCAACACAGCCTCCTCCAGGGTGGAAAAAGCAGCCACTAATTTACCTCCAATCACACTCAACACATCCGTGGGGGACAAGGGGAGAGGTGAAAATAGAGCACAAGCCACAGGACTAAAGAAGTCCTCTTTTGCTCTCTGTACAATTTTTAATATCTGTGTGGAGCAGAAAGTGCTTTGTTTCAGTGCTGCGCACCCCTGACACACCTCTCCCACCCCAAACGCTGCAAGTGTTCAGGCAATGCTCATCTACCTCAGGCATCTTCCTTCCTTACCGTCTCCTCTGAAAGACTCCCAGCAAAAGCATGAACTCCCAATGCAGGGCTAAAAGGTTGCGTTAACTCCACGGGAATGTGAGTCCTTTGCTCACGGGAGCCTGTATCTTCTGCCCCAAACCACTAAGTCAGTCCTGGCATCCCAAAACCTCAGGATCTACAGTTTCCCCAAGCACCTGTAACTGGGAAGCTGCCCACGAGTCAGAGCTCCTGTGAAGGCCGTTACTGTAAAGTCAGAGTGGAAACAGCCTTTTATCACATCTTGGCCAGGCTGTCAGCATACTTCTTACTGGCACCTTGCTCTGTTGTGTGCTAAAAACGCCTATCACTGTTTGCTCAATGCAGCTCACTCCGGCAGCCGTTTCCCAGCACTTGCAGCGCGGCAGCTGCTCCGCTGTAGTTTGCTCGCTTTACACAAAAGCTGCTTCTGGGCATCATCTTTGACACACAGAGGCCTCATTTTTCCCCTCGTCCATTGCCCTACCCTGCCCATCTGTGACACCACATAAACTAATAATAGCTGGTAATAAATAACACCTAACCTCAATTGCCATAGCAAACCCAGAGCATCAAAGACCAGAGTCCTGATATTTTAGAGCTGTGCTTAATCCAAAGGCAGTGAATAATCTTCTGTTTTCACAAAAGTCCCTGGGAAACATAGCTGCTTTTTCTTTTTTTTTTTCCTTCCCCAGACTCAGAGCAGCACTTTAAATTCCATTTCCATTAAAAAACACTGTTTTACTACTGAAGTATTTCTAATTTTATGCAAAACCTGATTTTCACAAGGTCTTGGTAGTTCTTCTGAAGACTAAGTTGTTGCTAGAAAAGGCAATAGTTGTGGCACAAAAATCTTCCTCTACTAAAAATATCTAGGATACTGTGACATTCTCAGCTCCAGTCACCAGCTGGGACTGTAACATCTCAGAAACCTTCTACAGCAAACTCTGCCCTGCGTGAAGTAAAGAACCACCACACATAACCTCCTATCCCTGTATCCTTAAGGACAAGATGAGTTTGAGCTTGGGATCTACGTTAGCATTTTTAGAGAATCTCAATTATTAAGCCTTTTAACAAATAGCTGAGTTAAGAATCAGTGGTTCAGACCATCCTGTGTCCATTTTCAGATTAATTTAAAGTCACTTCCCAAGCAACGGTTCAGGTTCTCCTGGGTATAATTCCAGAGTCTCTCTTTAAGACAAGGTCTCTCTTCTGTACCAGGTTATCTTACTCTGCTTGGTATAAGCAGGTGAGGTACAAACAGTGAAAGATACCACGTTTTTCTTTTGTCCTTTCCCTTTTTTGGTCAATTGCTGCCATGTTCTGCTTTTCCTTATATTCTTCCCAGAAACCCAGAGAGAGACAAATGACTGCTACTGCCAGCATCTGGACCCAAACCAAGGGCCTTCAGAGCCAGAGGCACTGCTGGACACTACACCCCCAGCATCCCGGAGGGATTCACATCTCCAGTAACATCCCTTGCTCACCTTGCTGGAGAGCTCCTCTTGCTATTTCAGAGAGGTGAGACCATGTCGTGAGTCTGCAGGCTCCAAGGTGCGCTCCCTCTGCATTTCTCACTGACCCCATCCAGGTGATAATGGACTTCTCGATGCCAACGAGAAGCCAAAGGCAGGTGACGCCAAAGCTCTTCTCTTTAGCGACCGCATGGCTTTCCTGGGTGCCCCACAGGCCCCTGGTTCCCTTTTTCATCTAGAGCTAAACTGGCTCAGCTGCCTCTCTTCTTCCACAGGTGCTTACACACTCAAGAATAAAATGAGGCAATGGGAACCTGCAAGGTGTGAAGGGCACTGTCTGCCCTCGGCCGAGCAAACTGGAGCTTCTCAAGCAGAAGATCGTTCCAGGCAGCTTATCCCTGCCCGGCATCCCAGAGGTGGCAGGAGAATCCCAGGCACTGGCAGTGCCTCGGCTGGGGCTCCCTCGTGAGATGCTCCTGTAACAAGGTTCCTTTCTGTAATTAAGGCCTTGATGTCTTCTCTCTGTTTCTGGGGCAGTTTGTCAATAAATTACACTCATTAAGGAAATTGCGTTGGAAGCTTTAAGTCTCAGGCTTGGCAATGACTCTCTCCTGTGACTTTACAGTAGTAGTAGTTCTGGTTCTTTTCAGCTACAGTCATTTTCAGGCTGCTGCTACATATTCTTTTCATTCACAGTTGTGGAGAAGAATAAAGATATTCTGTTCCCACGGAGGGCACAAACCCGCTCTTATCTGTCTGTTTTGAAGATGGAAATGACAATATCTGGAGTCTGTCAGATATTTTTAGCCGGTCCCAATACAGCTTTGTTAATTGAAAGAGCTATTTTTCCTGGAATAGAAATGTTCAAAATGTCCAATAATTGATGAAGGCCTCCTGCAAATCCTCAGATGGAAGCGGGAAAGATTCATTTACCCTCCTCAGTCGTTCTTGGAAGCCTTCATTTTCAGCCAGAGAGAACCAGTTTTCTGGGCAGATACTGCTGACTGAAGAGCCTGAATGTGCCGGACATCCAGGAGGAGGAGGAGTGGACCTGTATGGCACGGTCCTGGATTTATCTGTGTTCAGGTCCGTAAGAGACCTTACGGCTCCCTGCCTGCCCTGCACACACACACAGAGCCTGAAGGGACCCCAGTGTGCGCCTGTTCCCTCTTGCAGAAACAGCCAGCCCTACCTATGTCATCTCTCATAGACATTTGTCCCTAAAAAAGGCAGGCAAGAGAACTCTCTTCTACCTCTGTAAGTCAGAAGGAAAGCAAAAAAACTCAGCCTGGAAAGGCAGAAACCTTGATGTGTGCTAGGTGTAACTGCAGCATGTTTGGTCTCACCAAAAGAAAGTGTGTGTATTCTGGAACGACCACGTCTGATCCGGATGCAGATCCAGATCCCTCCTGCTCCAGGGTCCTTTCTCCGGAGTCGATAAGCAAAACCTGAGCACAGACTGCTGTGAATCCTGAGCATTATTTGGGGTCACCAGATGGTCCACAACCAACAGGCCAATGCGTACCACGGCCCTGGGCACACCTGGGGCCAGCGGTTGCTCCCATCCCTGCTTCAGTGAGGCAGGAGGCTTGCTGGCAGAGCAGCACGGGTTATCAGGAGGGGTGCTCAGCTCCTTGGCCTCGGCTGTTGAGCCTCTTCTGGCTGGAACGAAGGAGCTACTCATTCAGTCCTTTCCCGTGTCTTCTGCAGCAATCAAGTAGAAACACTTTGGCCTAAAACCACCTAATCCAGTGTACTCACCAAATCCACGTTTTCTCATCTTAAGATAGAGCACAGTAAGGACTTTCAGGGCTGATGAGCCAGAATCATGTGCTAGCTAGTCCCTCGTTCCCTGCCACAGAGGCAGGTATGTGAACAAAAGCATCTGTATGCTACAAATAAACCTGACTTTCAACATCTCTTTGTGCAGAAATGGCACTGGGCATCTGATTTCAGCCCTCTGCCAAGCAGAGTGACTGCTCAGGACTTGTCATCTCTCTCCTGCCTTCCACGGGTCCCACCAGCTGGTCAGAATGGGAACATAATAAAACGAAGCAAGCTTTTTCTCTTAGCAGCCTGCAAGTCAGAAAACCTATTAGAGTCCCCATGTCAGAAATCCATACTTGATTATATCACTACAAGTGAAATTGAGAAAAATGACAGCCCCATTTAAAGCTGCCATATTTGGTTACGTGTGATAAGAGACACACGCGCTGTGGTGGCTGGGTTGGAGGGTGGGGAAGAGAAAGCGGGGAGAAATCATTTGCCACTGGAGTTACATGGAAATTAAAATAAAATGTCATCACACTGGGAGGAGACCAGGGCATGGAGGCAACTCCTCAGCAAGAGATTTATTTCTGGTTATTTATTAGGCGACGTCTGATCTGCGCTATGATTAACATACGTCAGCTGCAATTTTTGACATTGCAGAGATGTTTGTTGGGGCGGGGAAGGGAAGGGAGGGGAGGGGATAGGAGCAGATGGGGCTGTGGGGCTGCCTTCCGCTGCTCTGCAAACCACATCCTTAAAGAAAAACCAGAGCAATTAGCTATCTTGCCTTTCCTTGTTAAATAAATATTTACCAGTTTAATTAGTTAATTGCCGTGCAGCTCTCAGAAACTCTCCTCAAGCTAAGCAGGAGATGTCTGGACAAAGAGGGGCCGAGTGCTAGAGAGGGAAGAGGGGTCTCCGAGCTTCCCGGCTGGGGAGACCTCCCTGCCCCTGGGGAGGGCACGAGCCCAGGCTGCCCCTGCCATTGATGCAGCCAAGCAGGGCGCTCTGCGGGGTGTCCTGACCTGGGAGATGCCCTGCGTCTCCCTTGCAAGCCTGCCTGGGTCACTGGACAGCTCCCCTACTCAAAGTCTTACCTGGGTCCTTCATCGGGCAGCTGCACGCCCAGTCCTGACCGATGGCAGGGGACTATTGCCAAACACTTTTTAAGACTGTAATTATTAATCCTGTTCAGTTTGGTAAATGCCTAAAGGGCAGGCTTGAACATGGCAGTGTTGCGTTAGTCTCGTACCAGCACGAGCAGCAGATGGTCCCTGCCCTGAAGAACTTACACTCTAAGTAGATGTGTCAGACACATTTATATCGAGCTTGCACAGAGGCAGCAGCAAATGCCTTGCACTTATAGAGCAGATCACATGCAAACCCTGCACCAATATTCCTGTGTTTCCTCTGGAGGGAGCGACAACAGCCTCACGCTGTTCAGGGAATGATGCCTCGTTAAGCGACTTGCTGAACGTTATGGTGTAAATTGGAGGCAAAGCACGCATGGTACTCAATCCCCAAACTTTTAAAAACGCATGCGAGAAAGCAAGAAACTCGATTATAATCCCAGCCAAGAGATGCTGGCAGAAACGCCTCCCGGATCCACGGGGCAGCTGGTGGTGTGAAAAAGCAAGTGTAGCCGGGAAGGGACAGTTACACTTGATTTCTGGGAGCTTGAAGTCATTGATCCTAAATTCTGCACGTACCAGAGGAAACAGAATTTTAACTAGATTTTAATTACGTGTTTGTTCTTGGCAGGAGCCACTCAGCACAGAGAGATGTATGTGCAAGTTTGTTTATGTTCGTACCAAACGCTGCATCCTTAACAGCCTTGCGAATCGAGAGAGGGGGGCTGGGAGAGGCAGCTTTAATTGTTTTATCCTTTTGGCTGCTATTATTGAGCTGACGGGAAACCAAGACTGTAACTCGCATCACACTCGGCACTGTACAGAGCACATTTCCAAAATGCAGATTGGGAATAATATGACATCCTGTTGCAAAGAACCTGGATGCCAAAGCTCGCCTCCTGTGACACTGGGGAACCGGGGGCTTTGCCTGGCCCATATGGGTGTAGCTGGGGAAAATCTGTCCTCTCCTGAGCTTCAGAAGAAGCTAGAACAACAGAAAATGGGAATGCAAGAGAATCTGTAAGAATTTAAGACAACAAGTGTTGTCTAAGCAAAGACACGACAGAAGGCCATGTACGTGCTTGCACGTGTGAATCCCCTGGGCAGATTCACAGCAGCTCCACTCCGAGCCACAGGCCAGCGTGTTGCTCAACAGCCGCCACATAATGCCTGACCTGCCTTTTGGGCGGCAGCGGATAACCACGCCGCTGCCGCCGCCGGAGTTGCAAAAGATTATTGAATGCAGCAGAGCGACAACCAGAGCTAGCTGCTAAATGACAGCTTCTCTTCTCGTTCCTCCCTGGTCAATGCAGAAGCAAGGGGGTCTGAGAGCACCCATGCAAGGCAGGGAGCACCCTAAGAGTATGGAGCCTTCCTTGGGGTGCAGGGCCCGCTGATCTTTAGGGTGAACAACTGAGAGGAGACAAATGAGAAGGGCTGAGAGCAGAGAAACAGAGCCCACGCAGGGCAAGGAGCTAATTGCCTATGGCAGAGTTCAGCCTGCCACCCTGCCTGCCCCGGGGCAGCACCCTGGGCCACTCGAGGAGTGCCATTTTGCTCTTTTCCTGCCTGTGATTAAGAAAGCAGAGGCCTGATCTGCATGTAGAGCATTTACAGGAGGTCACAGCAAAGAAAGCGATCCCAGATATTTTCCTGGCCTGATCTTATTCTCAGATGTGAGAAAGCAGTAAGGCTGCACACCGCAGAGGCTGAGAACATGGCTGAGATGAGGGTATTGGGTATTTGGGCCCTGACACCCATGAGGTGCACCCATAGGCGTCCTAGCTCAGCCTCCCAGGCAGACTCCCCACCGTAAGTGCAAATGGGTGCTGACTCCACACCAGCTTTGCCGCAGTTTTGGAGCCACCCAGCCGCGCTGCTGGGCTGCTGCACCCGTCCAGCCTAGCCTGCCCTTAGCACGCCTCACCACAGCGGGCTCAAAGCCACACTAAAGCCATCCTATGGCTTGCGCTGGGCCTGAAGCAGAACCAGACAAGCTGACACCTACCCACACTTCCCCTGGTAGCACCAGTCTGACAGGGTTCTGCTCGTGGCCCCCTACCACGCCTGGAAGTGCTGTGTGCCTGGGGAGGATGGGGAAGGGGAGCCAACAGGGCTGGGGGGTTGAACAACGGGAATCGAATCCACCAAGCTGACACAAGGCAGAAAGAGTGAAAAGAAGGATATAAAGGTCAAGCACATTTGTGTTTAAATAAGAAACAAAAATATTTTTATGAGTCATTCATTTTTCTTCTATAACTAGGCACGTTTGCATGCAAATAATGGAGGGACGTAAATGGTTATAAAATAAGTCTCTTACCATATGAACTCGGTAGAGAATGCTAATTCCCAAAGTCATGAACGGCTTAGAGAAATCAATCACCTTCTCCCGCTCCGCTGTAATCGTCAGCCCAGCCACAGCCAAATCAGCTTTCTGGAGAGAAAAGAGAGCAGAGAACATCAGGACCCCGAGCCTGGGAAAGGCGCAGGGCAGGGAAGGCAGCAAAGCTGTGTCTGGGGCCATGCAAGACACCCGCTCCTGGAAGATGGATGTCCCATCTTTCTGGGACAGGGCGCATTTGCTGCGGGGCAAAATCCAGGCTCTGCGGAAACCGTGGGAGTTTTGCCAGTGATGTTTCACTAGTTCGGACTGTGCTCCTGCACCTCGCTTCCCCAGATGGGTTTCACATAAGCCCTGCTCAAACACAGTCAAAACTTTAACCCATTCTCCACGTTTTTGCCTTCCTCACCTGGGCATTTTTATCTCTATACTTACAGGTTAGAAAGACACAAAGCTCCCAGTGGGGAGCCCACTGTGCTAGGAGCTCTACTAACAGCAAACAAAACAGCAGCCCCTGCCCCCAAGTGCTCACAGCCTGATTGCCTTTTCTATTCATTGAATGCTTCAAGACATGGCAAAACAGGAGCCATTGAGACAATAAATATTGTACTAATCTAAAAAAGATACAGCCTCCCCCTTCCAAAGCCCCTATTGAACACAGCTGTCCCCTTCTAGACAAGACTGTTACTTGCAAGCACCGTAGGTAGGAAAGCATAACAAAGCAGCATCATTACCCCCATACCTCGAGTCATGAAGTTTTCAAGCCTGCCAACCCCAGACTTCCAAAATTGCGGATCGATCTCCAAAAAATTCTAGCATAAAAATTTCCAGACTGACTTGCAAAGCAAATGAGATTGGGGAAAAAAATAAAAATAATTTCTTCCAATGTTAATACCCTTGTAATACAGATAAGCGATTTGAATTTTAAATATTATTTTTATTACTACAGCTCTTTTAATGTCTGTAATTGCTTTCTGTAAAAATGAAACCTCCTCCATTCCCTTGCACATTTGTTTGCCTGCTTTGCACAATGATGATTATGCAAGTGGAAAAAGAGAAGGGGGGGGAAAGAAAAGCTATTTGCACTTGTCGTCCCTGAGCTTCATAAGGTCTGTGCAGAAGCCAAGGCACCATCAGGCCTCAAGACCCAGTAAAATATGCAGCTTATCTCCCTGGATCCACGCGGTAGTTGTAAATGCACCACACAAAGGCAAATTTGCGGGTGCATCACTCTTACCGTGCTCTCTGACCCTGCTTGCTCTTGCATTATTTTCCTTAAGAGTATGAGGACTAATCACCCCCTGGCAGAGCTTTGCCGGGGGGTCTTTCCCCCCCTCTGCCCCCAACAGACTTGCCCGCTTAAAGGCAGGCAGGGAGGAAGGGCCAGCGAAAGGCTGGAGTTGCAGGAGCGAAGGGCAGCACTGCTGGAGCCCGTAGGAAGAAGAAAAGGGAAAAGAAAGGCAAGGTGATCTGCAAGCCTGCCCACCAAGGGGGGTCACGGAGAAGGTGATATTTCACAGTCCATACAGGACTGCTTTACTGGAGAAGCCCAGTGCCAGAGTTCTGCAATTGTTTCCAAGCAGCTATTACAGATTCTTAGGAGGTTCAGGCTGGAATGAATTATGAGCTAGGGAGGATTTCTGCCTAGCCAGACATTTACCCGCAGGGCTTTTAAAAGGCACCAATAATCACAACGTGGTGTGTGAGCAGTTGAGCCCTATGTAAACACCAGCAGATTACTCAAATGGAATCAGTTCATCTGTGGAACATGGCATGTGAGGAATTCTATCTGCAAGGAAAGTCTAAAGCTTCTTAAACATCTCTTGTCTATACTTAAAAGCGTTTGCAGGTACTATTGTCTGGGGGAGAGGTCTCCCAGCAAAGCCCCTCATGAAGATACAGATTATTCTAACAACAGATTTCTTCTCCCAGTTCTCCAAACTGAATACAATTCTACCAGCAAAGTCGTAGACTGCAGTAAATAGGCCGCATCAAAAGGTGTTTCATGCAAAAGCTCTAAGGACGTTTCCATTCCTATCCGGAGGCCAACAGAAAGGTGCTGCTGAAAGGAGCAGCGCAGCCCCCAGGTTTACCCAGCTAAATCACCATCCCTCGCCTGCCCCGACCCTCTCGGGGGTGGGACGTGGATGCCGCCAGGGAACTTTGTGCACTCCGGTTACTCCCCCAACTATTGTCCTTTGGGACCCTTCCAGATCATGTAGGCAGCAACATCTTGAAAGCTGCTCTTCCCTACGCAAAATACAACGCAAATCCATCCCCCTCCCTTTGCCTACGGAGCAGAAACTCAGCGCAGCAGAGCTGCCTTCCCCAGGCACGCAGGTTTTGTGCCCAGGTCCTTTCTCTCGTCTCCAGAGGGCCCTGCCATTCCATGAGAGTTGATTTCCTTCCGCTCATTCCCTGCCTGGTCAACTTTTGTCCTCTCAGGACTTTTGGCAGCATCAGAGCTACCGTAGCTCACAGCCTGCTCTAACCCATGCACATGCACATCTGCCTTCTCTGCCATTGCTCCCTGCAGCAGAGACCCAGCTCCTCGCAGCTTTAGCTGGGGCTGTGCTCTGACAAAGACACACTCTCTCTCTCTCTCTCTCTCTCTGCAGGCTCAGAAGTCATGCAAGTTAAGAGCCGATTTCTGACAGCAATAAACTTTGATCTGGGAATGGCATGCAATGTATTCTCTGCCTGAATATCATCCATTTCGTGCTTTCAACTTTGCTTCCTGATTTTCACAAAACTTCTTGTGATTCACCGAGGTCAGCATATCTTAGTTATAGAGGAGCTCTGCAAACCCAAGCGCTCTCCAGCCCTCCCCACCTGAGCACGGGTAGGAGTTGGCATTTTATAGGCTAAACAATGCACTGGGGGAAGAACTGGATTTTGCTTTTTGCTTCTGCACTCTGTCTGCAACTAGAACCTGGGGAAAGGGAAAACAGGAGGCAAAGGATGGGGGGAAGTGGGGGCAAACACTGTTTGATTTTCATCCTTCCAGCACAGTTGCAGCTATAAATGTCAGCATGAAATAGGCTTAGGAAAAGACCCAGAGCATTTTGGGAGTAGAGACAGACACTTCTTTAACAAAACACCGCTTACACAAGGCCAAACTCTCGCTAGGCGAGAGGAAGCCCAGGTGGGCTGGTGTCTGAGATAAAAGCATGAGCTGCCTCCACCATACCTGGCATTAACCATGGGATCTGCCTGCATCAGCAGACAGGCTCCCCCTGCCACTGGAAAGGATGTTAAACACGGGGGCTGAGCCGGGCTCCTGAAGAGGAACAACAATTAAGCAGCCTTAAGAAGCAAATTGCAGGGACTGCCAGTCCGGAGGAGGCGGCCGCCTCCTCGCTGCGGATGCTGACAAGGCTCATCTCGGCGCTAATGGTGATGAATGGGGCCTGACGTCAGCACTCATCCTGGGCAGAGAGGATCCCGCCAAAGCCTCCCCCAGCACCGGGGACCGGCCGGGAGATTGGCCCTGCTCTGGCCCCGCAGCGATTCACAACCTCCTGTCAAGCTACAGAAACAAAACACAATGAGAAAGTCCAAGGGGCGCAAGGCCTTGGGTTGTCTCTGTGTCAAACGCAGGGAAAATAAGCCTGAAGGACAGCTCTGGGAGCACAAGGCTGGGATTTCTTCCCGGAGCAGGAGTCCCTGACTTGAACAGCACCTTGGATGCTACATCCCCTGGGTGCATATGAGAGCACCCTTCTCACCAGCACTGCCCACAGAGCACTGACAGCATGGCCAAGGTCAGGGAAAGCTATTTCTTACACCTCCCCTGTGCTTGGAGGGCCTTCTAGAAAGCTGAAATCAGTGTTCAGCCTCCAGGACTCACCCAACCGCCAGCTGTTACCCCCGTTGCAGACCTGTCGGCATCAGCACTGCTGCTGCAGGTGCTTGTCCCGCTGGAAACCCATTTGGATGTGGTACTGAGCACGCGGCTAGAGGTGACCCTGCTTTGCTCAGGGGGTTGGACTGGATGATCTCCAGAGGTCCCCTCCAATCTCTGCTATTCTGTGCAACTCTGCGAAATAAGCAGCAGCCACTGCACAGCAGTTTGGCTTCAGCCTGCTCACCTGGGCAGCGGCTCCCGAACCGTCGCGGCAATGACAGAGCAGTCTCTCTGCATCTGCAGATCTGTCCCACGGCACGACGGGTACGGCTCGGCCGCCAGACCAATGTACTGATTGCTTCTGCTCCAGCTGCCCATCTGATCTGACAGGAGCTATTTCGGGTTGTGCGGCTCCTCCCGCTGGAGCGAGCGGCAGCCAGGCTGTGCACTAAGATGCATATTCTTGCATTTAAAAAGCAGGGCCAGATGAGGGTCATTCAAAACTGGTATCTGTTTTTTTTAAGGACGTACATGAATTCTGCCATATGAAAAGTGACAGCCTGAAAGCCCTGGAGGCTGCAGCCCTCCATTTAAGCCAGAGTCAGGGATGGGATGACCAGCAATCAGTGCAGATGTCAGCCTCAAGTCTGTCTTCACTCATGTTTCTTCACCTGGACTATCTCTAGGGGTGGGAGGAAAAAGTCTGTGCCAGGTGTTCGCCATACCCGTGGCAAAAGCCAGTTAAGGTGAAGCACCACGAATGGGGAACCTAAGCCCGCAGGGAACAGCAGTGAGACCTAACCAGCTCACACCACACCCAGCATCTTGTGTGTAATTTTGGGGAAATCAGCAGCACGATGCAAACCTCTCTGCCCATACCCTCACTGTGTTTGCTCAACAGCCCACGCTCCCTCGCTTCCCCACTCCCCCTCGCTCCCCACCCTCTCAAGCCCCCCCATGTCACACTTGCCAGCGCGATAGCGTGCAAACAGACTCCCCCTCCCTTCACCCACGCACAGCTTTTCTCACTGAACACCAACACCCACTGCCGAGCGGAGAGCAGGACTCTGCCAATTTTGAAATATCTTCTCCCTCCTTTCCCCTTCCTGCCATTCCCCGTCCTCGGAGCAGTTGAAGGGAGAAGGCCTCTGATTGTAAAGCACCACCTGGTCACCAGCAAGGAAGCTGGAAAAAATATCACCCCAAAGCTTTAAGGTCCTTTCAGTTCTTGGTGTTGCTGCTCCTGAGGCCAGACCCTTCCCCGAGACAGACAACTTCATCTGCCTCACTTTAAAAGGAGCTTTGACCACCACTGATCGCAGCCAGATTCAAACCACTGACACTGATACCAAAGATCTAGCGTTATTCCACAGCATCTCACTCCCCAAATGATCCTGCGCAGAAGGAAAGAGCAGGAGCTTGCTGTCCCCAATCACCCGCTCCTCACTCTTGTGCACCTCCTCACTCCATGCCTTCTACAGCCTTCCCCAAATAGGCTTGCCCTGGAAACACTCACAGATCTGCTGTGTTACCATCACCAAAGGTGACACATCATTTAAACAATGCCAAAGGAAGCCTGGGCAGCTGGTAGAAGCTGCACAACACGCACGGTCAGCCTGCATAGAGCGTGCTTCTGCCAGGGCTGCTTTGTCCTTCCCGTCCCCTGCACCCTGCCGCAGGTGAGCGGGCCGGGTCCTCTGTGGAGGGGACTGTCACCTAGCACTGGTGCCCAGCCAGACAGGGTACTGATCCCGGCTGCATCAGAGGGAAGTTTCTCAAAGGTCTTATAGCAAAACTGCAGCGTCAGATTCCTGCCAACAAAGCTTCCTGGCAAAACCAAACCACACCATCTCTTCTTAGCTCAGCTCTATTCTCTGCAGGCATTCCCGAGATGGGTAAATTCAGGAACTGTTGCTGAGGGATCTCTCAGACACAAGCCCATCTCCTCAGGGAGGAGCAAGGGAGCCGAGCACCAACGGCTGGCTGTGAGCTGACGTACAGGCACCGAGCACAGCCACCACAGAACTACGCTACCAAAGACAGCAAATACAAGCATGGCAGAACAAGGAGAAAGCTGTCATGTTGCTTTGAAAATACACTCGTTGGCTTGTATCAGACTAGCGAATTCATTTCAGCTTGAGGACGCACTGGAGAGAGAAAGAAAGGGAAGACCAGACAACCATCAGGGACCCTGAGGCAGGGACTGTGTACCACAGCAGGAAGGAGCGAGATTCTTCCAGCCCTATTGTCCCCTAAGGCTTTGACGCCAAAAAAATAGGAGGTGGGAAGATTTGCTGTTCCCCCCTTGTTTTCTTGTTACGGATAGCACACGTGTACGGTGTCAGCCAAACTGCTGGAGACTGCAGTTGTCTGTGCCAGCGCCGGCAAGGCTAGCGGGGGAAGTCTTCCCCGGCCGGAGAGCGGTTTTACTCCCCTGCTCACGCAAGGAACGAGCCGGGTGTTCAGCCTCCCTGCCCTGCATGCACAGAGGGACCAATTAGCTTGGCGTTTTCTGAATTTGTGACATCTTTCGCTACGGAATGGCCTTGAGTCCTTCCAAGTGATTTCTCCCAAGCCAAGTCTCCATCGGCTGATCACAAAGTTTACAGGTTTCCTGATCTGACGACGAGTCAGACTGCTGACCTAGCCACAGTGGTCTCTACAGCTCTTCCACTAATCCCCCAAGCCATCCCAGTCCCCCTCTTCCTTAGATCTTAATTAGTTTTGTGAGCAGGTTGATAAGATACGTACTGGTGAATTTGGGTCAACAACAAATTTATGTTTATATAGCATCCTTCTCAATCATATCATAGTGCACAATTAGCTGTAATAGAATTTTCAGCACTTAAGAATAAATCAATAGCTCATTAATTTAGAAGCAATAAAATGAAACACTTTTCCCATACAGCCTATAGTCGCTCTGAGGAGATTCAGTGCCATGGGGGGATTACAGAGACAAAAAAAAAAAAATACTGAAAAGGTATTGCATGGAGCTGGATAATTTTCTGACCTTCTGATCCTGCACACTAAGTGCATGCGAGTCAAACCTCACTTTCTGACAGCTGATCAGGGTTCCAGAAGGAATCAGTTTCCTACCATAATACAGCACTGCACAAAGAGACAGGCGCAGAGCTTTTATTTTGGGTAGGATTTGGGAAGTTTTGACCCGTGTGACAGTTTTGTGTCACAGCTAATGCCCTCTCTGTGCTAAAGGCTGTATGGAGAAAAGTGCCCAAAGAATATATCCACTGGAAGAGGAACGCGTGTGCCCAACATAGGATCTTTTGGCTTTTCTGCTTCGAGTGGTCCTGAAGTAGTATAGGGGACGAACAAGGGGCTGGAACTGAGGACAAACCCCCTTGGGGGCTGACTGTCAAGGAAGGAGAGGAACCCCTCGGGCTCTAAAACGACCTCAGAAAGCAATGTCCCAAGCAGCCCCGAATAAAGACAACAGTACACACACGGCCAGGTCTGCCCTGCCTGACCTGATCCAAAGTGCCAGTCCCTGGGACTGATCAAAAACTCACTGAAACCATCATAAAGACTCTAAAGGGCCTAGAAAGAACAAAACAGAGAAAGCTTTTTCTCTTCTCCAATTTTTGATTCAGCCTCACACAGGCTTTGCCAGCTCTGCCCTGCTGAAGCAGAAGTAAAAATCTTCTTAAATAAGGCTTGAGCTGCAGAAGAAACAAATGGTTTCTATGTGAAGATGAAGTTAAAACACTTATCACTAAAGAAAAACAACCCTCCAGAAGCTCCCATTTAATGGAGAGGCACTGCCAAGGTTAGTAGGCCAAAATTTGATGGCTGTTCCCTTCCTTTGTTTGCACAGATCACATGCTGCTCTCTGCGCCTTCCTTCTTGCCTCCCAAAAGAAACATTGCAGAACTGTAATTGTGCGTGTGTGTGTGTGTATATATATATACACAGAGAGAGATATGTATAAAAACTATGCCAATAGCCCAGAGCATTTTCAAACAACCATACAGAAGGCTCTTTAGAAGAAGCAGACGGAGGTGGGATCTCAGCTGGCATCAAGAGCTGTCGCTCCGCCGGGGAAGGGTGACCCAGGAGACAGGACACTAGTTCAGGAGGGATCTCCAGTCCATACTGTGCCCTGCCCCTGACCTTCAGCAAGTCTTTTGGACCTAGAGTCATCCCACCTGACTTTAAACAGTTGAAGCTCCTAAGGTAGATAGGACAAGCGTCAGCCAGGTCCCCTTCGCCACCTGGGGAAGCAGCAGAGAGATGCCAGTGGGCATCTTCTAGAGATGCTCACTCGTCTCCTGCAGCTGGGAAGAAAGCTGCGGCAGGAGCCCCAGACCCCTGCCTGGAGCCACAGGGGACGGATTCGGGCCCTCGTTCCTCTGCTTTGCAGGAGGGATGCACCACTGTTGTGAGGGTAATAATGGGGTGGCCCAGGGGCTCCTCTCACACAGTGGTGTGGATTATTATAAATACACCTCACTGCAGATTTGCCACCAGCTGAGAAACGGTCGCTGCGTTCTCACAGGCACTTCGGTAGTAACAAGGCAGGGCAGAAATCGGTGAGTGAGGAAGTATTGGTTTAAATAACATCAGTCTCCATGTTAGCTTTGGCTAAGCCTATTTTACTAAGGATCTCAGAGCATTTCGTGAACTGTATTTAAGCTTCAGATTCCCTGGGGAAGGACTACCTTTAGCTGTGGAGGAAAACAAAGAGCAGGGAGGGGGGTACAGGCTGACTGAGCACATACGTACACAGAAATGTTGTCGAACCCAGCCAAAGCATTCAGCTTTCAGTCTAGCTGCTGTGCATCAACACCGTGAAGCAGAGCCATGAAAAGATCTCGATCCACGCACTTCAAGCAAACAAAAAATGTTCCTCTCCAAAAACAATACTCAAAGTCAAGGAGCTGAAATGCATCTGCCAAAACTTTTCTGGGTAAAAATGCAGTTCTTACTTTCTTCCCTCCCAAACAGTGTGGTTTTGTAAGTTTTCTTCAGGTTCTACCGGCTCCTGCCAGAGCCTGCATATTTTCTTGTTTCAAATTTTCATTAATTTTTCCACCGGGGGGAAAAAAAAAAATCCACTCTATATCAAGCTCTTATGCAGGGACCGTGGAGTCCAGGCCTCCCTTCCAACAAAGTGAGCATCCCTGAGAGCACCCAGGGACCCTAACTCCTGCTCTGACTACTTTACATGCTGTCACATCGACACAACAAATACATTTGCCATTGGGAGAACACATTAAATGGAGATCTTGTGGTCAAAGTCTCACAAGTGGACTAAAACTCCCATCCATCCTTATCATCCTGGAGCACTTAATAAAGCATCAGGGCTTTTCATTGCCAAGTCCCACTAGAGGACAGTTAAAAGGAGCAGCTAATTCACTTACCCGAGCAATCAGCTCCCCGACCATCCCTGTCCACGTGCCGTTTGCCTCAGGGACTCCATACACACCATCGCCAACGAGGTGGATCTTATAGTTGAAACGCAGGATCTCTGCCAGCTCCTTCAGCATGTCCACACAGAAGCCCTCATAGCGGTCATTGCCTTCCAGCTCCTGATGGTTCCACTTCAGCATTAAGTAAGGGTTTTCCTGCATTGAAACTGGGCAGCTGTCATTCCCATCTTAGCCGAGGCATCCCACCAGCACAGCGCCGAGCACGAGGCAGAGAGGGCAGTGGGCTCCCTGGCAGCACCGGGATGGCAGAGGCTCTGATAAGGGGCACCCAAGCCAACCTCCCGCCCCGATATATCCCTCTTGACCAGGGTATAAGAGATACGGAAAGCTAGTTTGATCACGTGGAAACCCAAAGTGGTGTAAAGCTAGCAGAGCTGTTTCTACACTGGTATTCATTGGCCCCCATGGTGTCTGGGATGTGCTGGAGGTGCAGCAGATAAATCCCGGTTTAGGATATGAAGCAGAGCTAAGGGAAGAAAGCTTCCTTTGGGGGCTGTTTCCAACTGGCGTGCGCCAGAGCAGCCAGTGACTGCTGCGAGTTATGGTGAGACATATAGATCCCAGCCTCTCTTGGCATATAGCCAATTCTCCAGTTTGTCACTCTTTTCAACAAACTCTGTGGGACGTGAGGAAATAGTGCCCAGAGTTCTTCAGGATTTTGAGTGTATTTATAGGAGGGAGCAGAGGCACTGGAAAAAACCATGGGACAGGCAGCACCTGGAAGGGGAATTGGTTGAATAAGGACAGTGGTGCCTGCAGACGCGAAGTCTTCATTCATAAAAGTTGTACCCATCTTGGCCAATTTCAGTAATTTTATGGGTAGAAGGGACAACTGTCCCTTCCAACTACCAGCTGTACGCAAAACAAGAACATCATTCAGAGATGAATGTAAAATGGCAACTTAGCCCCATCCCAGCCCTCTCCCCAGCTGCTTCTGAACTCATCAAATATCATTTCCATATGAAATATCAACTTGAGTTTAATTACACTGTCATGAATTGTCCTCAGTGCTGTAATTAGAGATTTGATCGTCTGTTCTTTATGAAATCAGAGTGCGATGCTGCATGCTGGGGGCCGAGGGGGGTAGGAAGAGGGAATAATATTCTAGCTGATTGACATCCCTACGCGTTGGGCTGGCGAAGAGCTAATGGGAACTGTAGGTGACCCCCTCACTTACCAGGATGGTGGTGACAATGAGCGTGGTGTTGAACAGACTGTCTGATATGTTGGAGGAGAAGATCCTGTTGTCCATGCTGAGACCTTCAGAAACATGCCAGTGGCCGATCTGGAGAGATAAACAGCACAATAAGGGAATTTACAGGGCAAATTACTGTACGAACCTGCCATATGGCTCTGGTGACTGACAACCGTCAAGCTGGCCCTGGAAGAGGTGTTTATGAATGCTCCATTACCTTTACAATGCACCCCCACAATGGGCCGGCAGAGAGATTAACCCGCTGGTACATGGCACTGGCATACCCCTACCCGTGCAACAACACCAAAAACCTGTCCCCTGCTCGTGGCGGGCGCTGCCTTCCCACACATCCTCCCTGCAGCCGCAGTAAAGCCCTGCATCAGGAGAAAGCTACCTGGGGCTTGCGGTAGCCAAGCAGCCTTCTGCCTTGTCTCCAGATGCCACCAATATGGGTCCATCTTACCCAGCGGCCCCCATGCAGCCAAACCTGCAAGCTCGTCCCCCCCCAGCATGGTGCAGCTGGGAGCCCCTGCTGTCCCTCACGCTAAGGCATAGCAGCTAGGTCACGGCCACAGGATAAAGACTTGGTTGTCGCTCCCAACCTGGTGCATTTTCGCTGACCCCTTCACCTCCTCAGTTCTCTGGAGGTCAGCTCCTAAAGGGGACAGGGCACAGAGGCGCTTCATGGGAGGCTGCTGGAAAGGCAATGCTATAGCTGGGGTTTGGCTCAGCTGCACCATCCCGCAGTGAGACCCAACCACCAGCACGCACTGCAGGGTCAGCGCTACACCCCGGTCTGATGAGGCTGAGCTCTTCGCATGGGCGCTGTGTGTTACAGACACAGCTCGGAAGAACTTCAGGAAGTGCTGAAGTCTCATAATTTCACAGTGAAAGCCCAGAAATGGGCAGATGGGGTTCCTGCCTCCAACTCCTGTCCTGCCTTACGCTGTCTCTGTAACTTTGAACAAAGGTTTCACCTGCCTGAAAGCAAGCAAAACCTCCTGCTGTCCTCCTGTGAGTGTCACAGTCATTAGTTAAAGGCTGGCATAGGCCACTGTGAGTTCCTCGGAGGTAAAAGCCACTTCGCGGGGAGTATCACAGCTTCCCTTGCAATCACCAGAGCAGCAGCACCAACGTGGGGCAGACACCTTCCAGCCCTGACCAGCAGCTCCACCTTGGCGGCAGGTGGTGAAATGAAGTGGCGTCCTCAGCGGTGCTGCACCGTGACTCATCTCCTCTATCTGCTATAATGGATGCCAACTACTATGATTAAGTGCCTCCAAACCCTTTGTTTCAGGCTCATCGCACCCAACAGCTCCATGGACAGCCTAATTCACCCATCCAAGCATCAGTGTCGCTGCAGCAAACCTAATTCCCACCGCCGGTGGCGGGCCCAGTCCCCCAGTGCTTGGGAGGACATCGTGACTCAGCTGTGACGCAAGACAACCAGCCGCTGCCTTCAGCCAGGGGGAGGAATATTCAACAAAACCTAATTTTAACTTCAAGAGCCTAATCTCCCTCCCTCAGAGCTCTGGGCAGGGAGATCAGCACCTCCAGCAGCTCGTTCAGAGCATGCAGATTAGGCTCTCGCTCTCTTATGCTCCCTAAAAGAGTCTCTGTTTTTTCTCATGGATAGACCAGCGGCCAGGGGAGGCCAGCTCCCTCCGAGACCCCTTCTCTCTCCTTTTTCTCCTGCAAAGCCTCTCTGCTCCCGTCAGGTCCCAGCCCTCTGCATGCTGGATTGCTGGCCACAGCCTAAGTCCTGTGACACCACTGAAGTGAGCTGCTGCGACCCTAAGAGGTAGTGGGTGACCCCGACATGCAGGGGTGTCTTCATGGCTCCTCTGTGGCCGTGGTGCCAGAGCAAATCTGTTCCCAGTTCCCTCATGCTGACATGAGCTGTCTCGGGCGCTGCCGGTCTAAGGCAGGTTATCCCTTCACTGTGCCACAGTTGTCAGGGTGGTAGGAACAAATCGATTTCTCTTCCGTCAAAGAGTAATCTTATTATGTTCAAAGAGGTGGGTGGAAGGTGACGCAGAGCTACGGGCCAGGCGGGTGAACCACCACGGAAATGAATGGGAGGCATGCTGATTTACACCACCCCAGGATTGACTCCATGCACTCAGTCGCTTTTCTTGGCAGTGCTTTGCCTCTGGCATGAGTGATGGCTCGAGGATTTCAGAGTCACTTCCCAGCTCATCTGAGTCCAACACAACCTGAACCTGCAGCCATGCTGCTACACTGTCGGCAGACTGAATCGCCCCGGACGTTGATGAAAGGGCCAAGTCCTTTCTTCTCCTGGCTGTCGGTGCCAATCCAGCCCAAGCAACTGACAAGCCATTCCAAAAGCGGCCATCTGCGAGGAGTCCCAAATCCATTCTCCTCCTCCTAGGCACAAGGAGCAGGGGGAAGTGCAAACCGGACAGCTTACACTCGACGACTCTGCAGAAGGAAAGCAGGCAGGGAAAGCGAAGGACAGTCACGTGCATGTCTGCTCTCCTCCCTGGCTGGAGTCGAGGCACCGGGATGCAGCAGCGCAGGAAGAGCCAGCTGAGTCCCTGGGCAGGGGGGGCTTGTTTACTCTGCGGGTAACACAACAGAGATTATTCCCCTGAGCTGTCAGCCCAGCCCCTTCTCCAACATTAACAACGCTCTGCTAAAAGCACCTGTCATGGCAGGGACCTCTGAATGTGCTGGAAGCTTTAACTCTTGGAGGCTCCCCACCAACAGGAGAGGCACCGGGGGGTTATTAGCCTCACCTGACAGACAGGGAGATGGAGGCACAGTGATGGTGTGTCGGAGCAGGTTAGGAGCAGATCTTGGGCATCCTGTTCTCTTGACAGCTTGTTGTGGCTTAACTACCATTAAGCTTGTAGAATCACGGTGACGCTGTAGTGCAGGACTCATCATTGGGAATAACAGTCCCAAATGGGGAGATTAACCATGGACACGGAGTCCTTGAAGCACAGCTTTAACTGGCCTGCGCAGGGTCTGCATTGGTGTGATGGGATGGATTTATCCCGGCTGTATTCCTCGTTTCTGCACAAAGGTGCTTGCCTCTCGCTGCGATTGCTGAACAACAGACTCTCTGCTGCAATTGCCTCTCTAAGCGAGTGATCAGTCATAAACATTGCCTAATTTTTTTTCTCCCAGATTTCACAACTAGAGATTAGTGACAGATTAACTTTAATTTTAACAGCCCTCACTGTTCTCAAATTTGTCCCTCCCCTGCTGGCATACTGAGACTAATTGACTGCCTCCTCCTCTGACAGCACAGTGGGTTTGACCTTGCTTTTAACACAGCACCAAAGCCAAACACTCCCATGTGCCGGGGTACTTCCACCCCATCCTGGCTCGTTCCAGCTCACCACTCTCCCCCTTGCAGTATAATAAAGCCACTAATTGACTCCTCACGCTGTTCGCTGTTTCTGAAGTGTAATGTGTCAGAAGATGTCTGGGATCCTCAGATCTCTCCCTCTCTTGCAAGATGGATGTCAAGGTGATTTTAATCATCTCTATCTACGTATAAAGAGCCTCTGAAAAACAGAAAACATATTCATCTGCAAAACGTGTTAGAAAACAATCAAATGCTCTACACGGACATGGATAAGACAATCCTGTTGTTAAGGCTCCGGACTAAGACTTAAGAGTTTTTAGGACTCGGGATTTTTTAGTAGCGGATATGATTGGCCTGTATAAATACACCAGGTGGAGGAGGTCCGTAGCAAAGAGGTAGAACAGCTTTTGAAGCTAAAATGATAGCGTTGGCACAAAAATAAATAGATATAAACCAGCCAGAAATAAACAGGCTGAAAATTAGAAGAGGGTTTCTAACGATCAGAGGAGCTGAAGTGAAGGCATACCTTTCCCAGAGGAGCAGTGAGGGCAACACAACCACCTGGTTGCAAGCTGGAGCTCAATACCTTTGGCAAGAGGGATTGTACGCCCTCGGGGCAGGTGACAGCCCATGGACTGGATGGAGAAAGTTCCCTCCACGTCCCCGTGTTGTGGGGTCCCACTGCAGACCCCCACGGTGTCATCTCTGCACCTCCCTGCACTCAGCCCCTCTGCCTCTGCTGTAGGGAGAGCCAGCCCCGCTCTGCCTGTCCTGCCTGCAACGCCTGCAAGAGTCTCGGGGCAGGAGTCTATCTTGTATGTCCTTGTTATAGGCAGGGAGCAAACACGCAGCTTCAGTGTGAACCAGCCCAAAGATCCTCGAGCCTGGAATAAACAAGGGAGTGCCATTGCTCGTGACACTGCCCCATCCCCACAGGCAGGCAAGGTCCCTCAAATCAGCTGCTCTGCAAAAGGCGTTATTTGGATTGGTGACACTTAAAGATTTCACATCTCCGTAGAAAATCACCAGCGGCTAACGCAATGCAAGTGGGGCATTCCCAATTCGCTCCTTCAGCTTCTCTGTTCAGATGCAGCCACGTTAACGATGGCTGGGCTTTCAAGCTCCTTGTGGCACGAGATGACAAAATACCACTCAAGCTAATGATTTTAATGAAGTTTTCTGCTCAGTGCCCCGCAGGCCTGAATGGCAGCTGATGGCAGGGAGAGATGACATGGCAAGACCTCTCCACAAGCTTCAGAGGCACCACAGGTACTTGCCACCCCCACTCCCCAGCTAAAAATTAAGGTACAGCCAGCCCTGAACACGGGTGTCTTAAAACAGGCAGGAGACCACCACTGCAACAAACCCAGATACCTTCTGGGCTCTGATTAGCCAGCACTGTCCTACAGATTGCATTCATCACCTTGCCTTCCCCCGTGTCCCCAGGAAAAGGAAGGAGTGCAGAATGCTATCATCTCTCATCAAGTCTGCATTTGGAGAGCCTCGTCGGCACTAATAGGAAAGAGACTGTGCCAGGAGGAGATACAATTAAGTAGGTACTTGGTACATGGTGCCTTCATTGGCCCAAAGGGGAGGGAATTCAGGGGCATCTGGGGAGGGAAAGGAAATAAAACAAATGAAGGAAAGCCCTCCGAGGACACTGCACAGCTCTGCCACACGGCTGGCACTCCTCAAGGACACTACTGCAACACTGATGCCAGCAAGGCAAGCAGGCAAAAGCTTCCTCCACAGACGTTAGCGTGGGACACAGAGAGCACCAACTATTAAAACCTGTACAACCATGAGGCATGCACACAACGCACCCGAGGCCACACAGCAACCCCTGCGATCCCCTTCCTCCCTAGATGTCCCTTTCAGACAACCTGATTGGCACCTGGCGTAGCCCAGGCAGGACCTGATGGTGGCACGCACCAAGTTCGCCGGGTCCTGGGGCGCAAAAGACATTCAGCTCTTGGCAGGATCTGTCCCAGAACTCTTACTGGGGGTAACAGCTAAATAGGAACAAGGCCCATTGAGACTGATTAGCCGCTTCTAAGTTAAATAGGTTTGATGTGGCGGGGATTGCGGAGGGTCTCAGAGCTATCGGCTGGTAACTCATCTGCATCTCATCAACATACCAATTAGACACCCCTCCTGTCACTTCCACTGCTCTGTCTCAGGACAGCAGCACAGCCTTTAGCTAAACGGCAACTAATCGGCTGCATCTAGGACTGGACAAGAACAAGGGGTCACGGGCAGAGCTGGGGACAACGTGCCCACGGCAGGGCTCCAGCCCCGGCAGGGGCTCCCCCTGCCTCTCCCCTGCACACTGGCCTTCCCTGCAGCCGTATCAATCATGGGCCCTCTTCATTCCCTTCTCCCGTTAAGCTGCCAAACCTTAGCTCTTGGTTTACTGCGAATCACTACGCTGAAACTGGAGGGGTGTGCTGCAATGTTTTTTAAAGGGGCAAAGAAAGGGAAAAAATAAAAAGATGACATTTACAAACTCAGTCCTTGTCAGATCTATGGATCACTAACACATTAATGAGTCTGTGCTTTATCGCGCATCCTATGAACAGAAAGAGCAGCTCTCATATGGCTGGGGAAAAATTTCCACTAGTTAAGCTAAATCAGGAAAAGACACGTTTGGCGCGTTACATAAATGTATTAAAAATTGGATGTCAAAAAGCCCTGTCTCTCCTTGCCCAAAAGCAACAGCAAGTTAGAAAATCTAAGTGTCTCTAATTTGTTTGCTGGCTGGATCAGCTTCAAAATTCGGTGCATTCTCTATCAAAGCTGATGAGCTGGAAGTCCCAGTGGCTTTGATAGATGGAAGGAGAGAGAGGGGAAGAGAGAAAGAGAGAAATGGGCAGAGAGCGTGAGCTTGATTAAAAATAAGGAGGGAACGGGAGTGTTTCAAACAAGAACCTGAGCAAATCAGTTAATAGAACCCTTGGGAACAAGACTGTCTCCAAGGTGTGAATGTCTGTTCCTTACCCCCTACCCCGTCCCCTCACGGTGTATTTAATTAAATGATTTCTAATTATTTATTTGGTCATTTTTATTACAAGAAGCTGGGTTGGCGAGAAGAAAATAACAATCTATGGCAGACCAGAGTGGTTTTCGGTTTCCTTTTCAAGTGACCGAGAGGGGTGGGCAGGACCAGGCAGGACCCTGCCCAGGTTTCACAGCTCTGTCCGGGGATAGGGACACCCTTCCCAGCCAGGCATCTCAGGACAAACTCCTGCAGCCTGTCAGGGGCCCTAACACCCCTCCGGGCATTGCTATCAGTCAGGCAAGACCTCTGAGAGGGGGCTGCCTGAGAAGAGGAGAGCAGATGACAGAAAGGCTGCTGCAGACATACGGAGCAGTTTCATGAAGACTAACTCCTCCCTGGTGGGTTTCTGACAGGAGAGGACTTGCAGCCACCACAGGCTCTCAGCAGGCAGCTGCGCACACCGGAGGGACTGCCCCGTCCTTCCAGCACCTTGTTACTGCGACTGGAAGTGATTTATCACCACCGCTCTCCAATGGGAAATTTGAAAAGCTTAGTCCCAAGCACAGCTTTCCTGGGTACCTCTGAAACATGAAGCTGCTTATTTACCCAGCCGTTGCATGCAACCGGTCAAAAAAGGTTTTCTCCTGTCAGACTGGGTTTGTGGAGAAGAGCTGAGGCTTTTGTCTCAGGGCAGATACGGCTGCAGTCAGAGCTCTCCGCGGAGCTCTGGGAGAAGCACTGCTCCAAGAGGACCTGTGCGTTTAATGTGAACTCCCTGCCACATTTAAACACATCAAAAACATAGCTGTCGTAGTGCGGTTTACAGCACTTGCTTCCTTTGCTCCAGCTGAATGCGTGCTCTTATTAATGCAGATGGGCTTGGATCTGTCACTTTTGCTCAGAATATGATGGGTTCGGGAAATGATTAAAAGGGCATTGATGCTATGAAAGATCTTACTGTGGGGAAAATGCCATCCTGATCCTCCGCTTGCTCAGCTAAAGGCAGCATCAAAGCTGAGCTGTCACTTGACAGGTAAGAACTGGCAGGCAACATTCTTGCCAAGGCTAAAATTCACTGCTGCCAGGCCAGGAGAGATTTCCTAATGCCAAAATGCTCTGTCGGTGTGGGGAAAGATACAATAGCTTTTGTTCTCTACCAGCATCTAGGAGAAGTGGCAATCTCCGAGAAAAGGGCAGGTGTGGAGCTGTCAGCAGGGAAATAAGACAGATGAAAACCCTTTTTCTGGGCCTTTTTTTCCTAAAGGAGGTTTGGATTTACCAGTAAAACCTAATTCCTTGGGCTTGTGTCATGTAATCTCAACAGTTTGATATCTGTGGCTCTACACAGTTATCCTTAACCTTAGCTGAAGCCAGAAAATACCCCTTGGACAGAAAGAGTAACAAGCAGAAAAAGGACCAACGGTGTGAGGAATCTACAAGCACTGAGACAAAAAGCAAATGAGAGTCTGAGCTAAGCAAACCTGTTACAGAGGACCACGGACCATAAACCGAGAGGTAAATTATCTTGTACTTCCTCCCGCACACCAGGCTGGGGAGAGACCGTGGGGAGCTCCTCACACGGCATTTCTCCCTTCGCTTTCCCTTCCAGAAGCAGTTGTTTGGAAAGGTTCATAGTACCCTTTTTGCCCATTTCATTGGAAATTCTCCCTTTTTTCCCCATCCAAATAATTCTGAGTACACGCGTCTCCACAAGCTTAAGAACAAAAATGTCTTGAGCGCGCGCTTGTATGTAGCACACACTTTATGCCCTGCATTATCTCCTGCACAGGAGTGTTACTGTGACAGGACAGATATTGGCTCTAACATCACCACCTCAGCGGCCTGATACATTAAGACAAATGTAAATTATCTCAAGACACGTTCTTGATGAAGTGAAACAAAGTGTGTTCGCCAACCCAGGCCCAGCGAGAGCTACCGTGACATCCATGCTGTGCTTGTTGCTTGCTGAACACCTCATCTTGCAAAGGGGGGTGTCTGCAACCCCCTTCACCTCCTCCAGCAGCAGCCTGAGCCAAGCCCTCACCAGGCTATGCACAGACTGTCCCCGGGCACCGTCCCCCAGGCAGCATGGCTGCTCTTACCTGCCGGAAGCCGTTGCGTGTGTGCTGCAAGATTTTCAGGGCGTAGTTGGATCGCTGACCTTTGCTGTTGAATTCGATGTGGCCGGTGAGACCTTCCAATTCTACCTGTCCAAGAGAGAATGAGTTACAGCGCCCATCGAGGTGGCTCACCCCACTGCCTGCAGCAGAGCCGGGGGTGGTGGTCGCTCGTGCCGCACACCAGCCATCCACCCTCCCAGCAGCAATAGCAATGCAATCCTCGTGTCTCAATCCTAATTGCTTTCAGAGTCTGGCTAGGGTAGCACTGAGAGATGTGGAGGGGAGCAGGAGAACCAGCAGAACGAGGTGCAGGGCTCCCCACATTCTTTTGCACCAGCTGCTTTGGAACAACCCCCTGCACAGCCCCTCGCTGCCTCCCTCCATCCCAAGGCTGACACTGCTCTGCTCTGCAGCAGGCACAAGCTTTTCACCATGTCACGCTGAATCACTAGCTAGGGATTCCTCCACAAACCATTACATGCTGTTTCACTGCATCGGGCCGGCATTTAACACAAGAGCATGTTGCAATGGAGCCAGGAAGAGTGCCCAGCCTCACTGTGCAGATTAACCACTGCTCACTTGCTGCTGCAGCACCTCTTCAGTTACAAGGGCAAGCTACTGCACCTCCTAGTCACAGAGCCAAGGGAAGCTGAAAAGTTTTGGTGTCTCTGACTAAGGGTGAGATTTAAAGCGGGGCTCACATGCATGGACCAAAGTGGCACAAGGTTCAGGTTCAGCCGAGCCTTCCTTGGGGGGGTACACACGGACGGGCAGAATTGCACGACGTTTCAGTTGCGCCTCAAACAGACTCAGAAAACATGCTGCTTCTGCATGGTCAAGCTCAGCTCTGAGGAATCAGATTGACAAACTCCAACTGTTTCAGAAGGCTGAAATTTCAGGATCTGTTCTCGTGCCAGAACTAGGCTTGATCAGTTCCAGCAAACACACTTTTGGGTTCAAAGGAGCCGAAACCTCTTTATAGGGAAACCCACATCTTGCCACTGAGCTCTAAGCAATTGTATTGCATGACCTTATATCAACTCAAGTTCACTCAAAACAGAGCTCAAATCAGTTAGAAACATTCATACTTAAAAAAAAAAAAAAAAAAATCATTGAATTCCATTTTTTCTGCAGCAAAGCCTGGAAAATGGAGAGTTTCATGTCGTTCCAAGGCCAGTGACAAACCAGCCCTCAGATCTCCTTTCTTTTCATTCCCAGTGCTACCTTCAAACAGACCAACACTGTGCTTGAGAACTGTGCCAGCACCAGCATGTACATACACATCTTTGGCTTCCAGCAGTGACGAGCACTAGCTCCTACCAGAGCGGCAAACTTCAGTCCCTTCTCACCATTCTCAGGTAGTTCATCAGGCTGGTGCCGTGCTGCCAGATCTGGGCTGACCCACAGGACAGGGGCTTCACACCAATCTCCTGGCTCCGGTTCAGCTCCTGCACGGCAGTCACCACAGCATACACAGCATCGAACAGCAGGGCAGAAGAGAGCTGTGGGGAAAAGGAAGAAAAACAAATGAGATGGGAAGACAAAAATCGAGCCTCTCACTGCACCTTCAGGACCTGCAGCAAGCAGGAGAGTGCTCTATCCACAACCTCAGTGGGGATCAGAAAGGAGAGAAATCCTTGTCCTCCTCCGTGCAGACAGCAAGCCCTGCTTGCCTACCGTTCTGCTCCAGCAACACCCTGCACCCCATCTGCACCCATCCGAGGACAGGGAGACAAAAGCAATGGTATCCCTGAACTGCTGTGCCTGTGCGGGCATCACTGGGGCAAGTGTAATCCCTTTGCAGCCCCAGTCCCACTCCCAGTCTGTTACGTTTCTCCTCTTCTTGCTTGCTCCCTTACCCTTTACGTCTCTGCTTGCTTGTTCCTCAGGGTTTCTAACCCTTTCTAATCAAGATGTGGGTTTTTGGTGCTTTGATGACCCCTGATTAATCTGTTGGCCAGAGGGAACACTCCTGAGAGAGCATCAGGTTTGCAGGCAGATGGGCAGAATAAAGATCCTGTGCCTGCATCCACAGAAGGAAAGATGACTGTGCTGCTTCAGCCTTCATTAGGCACCAGAGAGTCCTTCTTCGACCACTGCTATGAAAGGCAGATCCATGGGAAATGAGGTTTTGCTAGATCTGCTTCTCAAACGACTAAGTCTTGGCTTTCAGCCCCCGCAGAGACCAGAGTCCCTTGCTACGGCCTCTGGTTTCCTGCTGGGTGTTACCTGCTCTGTAATGGCATTCCT